CAAAGATGGTACTGACGCCCACAAAATAAGCTGAACTAAAGAATTCAGCTATTATGCATTGCAACTATGTGATTGCAGCTGTCACCTGGAGATCTGGAGGTCACTTACCTGGTTGGAGAGAATCACCCCGCAGTAGTCTAGTGAGCTGCTCAAATTTAGTATCTCAGTCAATGGCTGAGATGGACCTGGCTACTTTTGCCATATTATATTACCACTACTGCAGAAACACAATCATATCAGGAAAAAAAGCAGCATACTTCAGCACTATGAACCTAACAACTCACAGACACAGATGGTTCAACAACTCCAGAAACTCTGACTTTTGTAATCAGTCAGATTGCTAATGTGATGCAGCTGAGCTGAACCCAAGCAGTGGGTACATTGTGCCACAGGCCAAGCAAAGCCAACGCCAAAGCTTGCACTCTCATTATTTGCTTCTGTGGCAAACTCTTTGCGTTTGCTATGTCTTTAACGTGTACCAATGTGAGGGGCTTGCACGGACAAGCAAATTTCCCATGAATAGATAAAACAGGCATGTTACACAGGTCCATCTGATAAGGGTAAGTATGTAGGTGCAAAAACTACATACAAAATTAGAAAAAATATTCAACATAAAAATCTTCTCTCTTCATACAAAACATACATTAAATCCAGAGCAGAGGAGTCTAAATCTGCATATAAAATACCTATAAACAGTAATAAAATGCTATATTTAGAAATATATAATTTCATGTATTTCCTACATAACCCAAAGAATCAGTCCCACCTTCCTATGTAGAAAAAGAAAAAAGAAAAAATATTCAGCAAGACAACAGTTCAGTGCCTTTCCTTTACTAGCACCAGAATTTTTATGTAAGGCATATGCACAAATGAGACCCACATTTTCCTACTTAAAACATAAAGGTCTCTATTGTTCCATGTTACACCAGTACTGCTATGAAAACTTAATTTCTCCAACTTTTTTTTCCCCTTGAAGAACAGAACTACTGTTCACTTAGCTGTTCCACACAGAATGCATGCTCAAAGGGTGAGATAAGGGGAAAGAAAGAACAAATTACCACATTCATTTACTACTTTCTCCTTCTTCCTTTGATTATTAGCATGAAAACTTCCTACAAATGCTCATAATTCATTACATTATTTAAAGCCAGTGCATATGCTCAACAGGTCCATGTATTTGTCACATCCACTGAGTTTATTTCTATGTTTATGTAAAAATAATCTACAATGCTAATAAGCCATGAACACACAGAAATACCATTGCAGAAATTATATCTGACATTGAAATAACAGAAAAATAATGCTAAGCATACTTGATGCATAGTATACATAAAGAGATTAGATGCAGAAGTTGATAAGAAGAAAAATTTTTGTAGTCTTTGAAGAAGAAAGACTTGAAAACATGTGGTTTTAAGGTTTTTCTGACCATGAGAAAGCATTCTGTGCATTGTAATCACACAGACTGCTTTACTGTGCCTGCTAATCTTTTGTTCATTTGTAGACAGGACTTTTCCTATTTAAATAATTATTCAGTAAGTATTTATTCCGTTTATTTCTGAGTTTCTGTACTTACTACAAAAAAAAAAAAAAATCTTTAATTTGAAGCCCTCACACCCCAAAATGCTATACATTCAGTATTATGCAGCAGCAGTGGAAAGTAGCGAAACAGGCAGGCATGTTAAAACCTAAGTCAAATTGGAAATGCCAAGAGAAGAAACCTAAACACATCCTTCCCTTTTCGTACCTGTATAAATAAAATTACGGTAGGCCTCAGCTACAAAACACTCTCCCTTTTTCTCCCCCCAAAAAACTTACAATGATGATACAAATGCACTGAGCAGATATCATGTTAGGGAAACACATGGCTCATATTCATCCCTTCATGGGAGCGTGACCACGAACCATGCTGGGCATGTGCTGTACCAGCAAGTCTGTACTTCCACTGACTAGGATAGCGAGTGACTCAGTAATGAACAGCACCACACAGCTTTGCAACCTAGTACAAAAACCTGACGTATACATGTTCACAGAACTTTTCAATCAACTATTTATATGGAAAAAATACTAGTTTCTAGTATTTCTAGAAGGATATGAGGAGTGGTGCAGTTGACACAGCAGAAGGATGGGATGTCACCCAAAGAGACCTGGACAAGCTGGAGAGGTATGCCTGTGTGAACCTCATGAGGTTCATCAAGGCCAAGTGCAAGGTCATGCACCTGGGTTGGGGTAACCCCCAGTATCAATACAGGCTGGGGGAAGAAAGGATCGAGAGCAGCCCTGCCAAGAGGGACTTGAGGGTACTGATGGACGAAAAGCTGGACATGAGCCGGCAATGTGCACTGGCAGCCCAGAAGGCCAACCGTACTCTGGGCTGCATCAGGAGAAGCATGGCCAGCAGGGCGAGGGAGGTGATTCTGCCCCTCTACTCTGCTCTGGTGAGACCTCACCTGGAGTACTGCGTCCAGCTCTGGAGCCCTCAGCACAAGGACATGGAACTGTTGGAGCGGGTCCAGAAGAGGGCTACAAAAATGATCCGAGGGCTGGAGCCCCTCTCCTATGAGGACAGGCTGAGAGAGTTGGGCTTGTTCAGCCTGGAGAAGAGAAGGCTGTGGGGAGACCTGATTGCAGCCTTTCGGTACCTAAAGGGGGCCTATAGGAAAGATGGGGAAAATCTTTTATTAGGGCCAGCTGTGACAGGACAAGGGGTAATGGTTTTAAACTGAAGCAGGGTGGGTTTAGACTGGATATAAGGAAGAAATTCTTTATAGTGAGGGTAATGAAACGCTGCAACGGGTTGCCCAGAGAGGTAGTGGAGGCCCCATCCCTGGAAACATTCAAGACCAGGTTGGACGGGGCTCTGAGCAGCCTGATCTGGTTAACGGTGTCCCTGCTCACTGCAGGGGGTTGGACTAGATGACCCCTAGGGGTCCCTTCCAACCCAAAACATTCTATGACAATTCTATATTACTGGAGGGCACAATTGTCATGCAGCTCCTGAGCCACCAAGTCCAATCTTCTGTTATCACTAACAAAACTTCATATAATCCATTTAATCAATTTTACAGCTGGATTCGAATTATCTGAAAGGTCTTTTCCAACCTAAATGATTCTGTGATTCTATACAAGTAAGTTCTCACCCATTTCAGTCCTACTGAAAGCTGTTGCAGACTCTGAGCACTATCTGCAAGAAATTTCTTCCAGTTTTCAACCTACATTTATTCAGGACCAGTCTATAAGCATAGCTTATCTGATCACACTCTCCTTTACCTTGGTTATTTTCCCCTCCCTAGAGCTTATTCACACATTTTTAGCCACTTTTTTTTGCTAAGCTCAGTAAACCTCTCTTCTCTTACTCCTGCTGTGATCATCCTGCTGGCCTGCCCTTCTCAGTAGTCACATCTCATATGAATCCTTGAGAATCAGTGGTCAAAATCTCTATTATAGATTCCATAGACAACTGTTTAATTTCTACCATCACAGAAAAGCTTTTACTACTTAAAATAATTTATTAAGGATGTGCTATGTAATTTCTGCAATAATAATTCAGGCATTCATGATTTCATTCTAAACTTAGAATTGTTTATGTTATCTGATTTAAGAGAATACAAATCAGGGCAATAATAGCACATTAATATATGTTATTCAACTATTACCTTTTTTTTAATTATTTGCAAGTGTAGAAGCATTATAAATATCAGTAACAGGGAAAAAAATACTATGCTTTCTTTTTTAGAGCAACTAGATTTTTCACTGTGATCCAATGCTGCCACTTATTTTATACAGATTATTCCATGGAATTATTACATCATTAATATATGCATAGAATGTGTATATATGCATACATGCCATATGTATTTAACTATGTATAGCTGTAATATATATTAATACAACTATTTTACATATATGTATAAGCATAAATGCATATTATATACATTTTCTATTTAAGTATCTATAAAATATGTATATATTTTTATATCTGCATATAGGTATATTACATTCTTATATATAATATATATCAAAATATAAATTTATACATACAGATAAATATGTACCTATATAAGTTTTACACATATATGTGTATATACATACATAAGCATGTATAAAATTTATACAGATATAAAATTATACACTTTACCCCATGCCTATTTTAAACCAAAATGAATTTTAAAGGATGAGGATACATTCTTCTAAAAAGCAGCATTCAACATGAGGTTCAATGTGGTTAAGGGAAATACCCTATTCAGTGTTACTAAGTGTTTACTAGTCAAAGGCATTTTTTTTAATGAAAAGGTTATCAGGGTATCAAAAGTTTTACCAAAAAAAAGGAAAAGAAACAAACAACACTATGAAAAGCTTACCTCATACCATAAAGACTTCTCAAGAAAGGAATTAAACTCCCATTTTATTAAGGACTGAATTATAGTTAGCTGTTCTGTTGTAATCCTAGAAAGCTTCAAGCCACTGTTGTTTCTCCTTTGCTCAACATAATTCCAAGCCACGGTTCCTATGTGCCCTGAAGGTAAAGTCCTAACAATTGCTCTCGTTCCAGTATAAACTGATTTTTTAACCTCTTTATCATTTTTACAGAAACGTCTTATTAATAAAGTAGAACGTTCCTTTTTGTTTCTAAAGAAATCCTCTTCCACCTCTTCTTCACAGTTATCATTACAGTCTTCAAAATGGCTCAGAAAGGGCTTTGAGGGCATTCTTCCAGTAAAATTATTTCCACAGAAATTGTGACCTGAGCACGCCACTTTAACCTTTCGTGGTGCTCTTTCCAGACATAAATACTTATCCCTTAAAGCGTCTTCATACAACTGCTGCCCACTTTCATTCTCGCAATTATTTGTCAACTCCATTAATCTGCAAGTGCAGGCTGGGGAACCAGTGGTGTTACCATCACCAACACCTACTGGCTGCAAGCAGTCATCCAAAATGAAGCCGTTGTGTAAACTACACAAAGCCTTTGATATATTCCTCTTGCTAGCACAATGAAAGTGAAAAAAGGCCACTTTATCAGTATCGTTGCTGTCATTCTTATTTACTGCTGTCTGGCTTCTTAACGAAGGCCCATTCATTTTCAACTGAATTTCAGCAAGCATGGCTCTTTCCAGTGAAACAGGAATTCCAGTTTCCAGGCATGCCTCTCTCCCTGCTAAAGGATCACAAGATTTATACACCTGGCTGCTCGTGTAGTTCTTCTGCACAATGTTACAGTTAATGTTAAGAAATTCCACTGAATCAGGGATGGAGCTGTTCCTCTCCCACAAGTTTTCATTACCATTGTCATTAGTCAGTTGCTCTTTTGCCAGAGAGAATATTTTGGGCACTGAGCCCTGAAGACTTTCTTCTTCAAGTCTGTGTAAGTATGAGAGAGCATGTGTGGTTTGCCTTCCCGGACTGGCAGTATGTCTTTTTATAACACTGGTGTCCAAAGCATTTTCAGTATTTTCATCTCCAGCTGACTGAGCAGGTATCACTTTACCCTGTACCACAGAGACAAGAACAGACGCTGTCATTTCCTCCGAGGTCATCTTGACACAGTCTTCAGTCACTAGATGTGTGCTGTGGGGCAGGGGGGTAGTGTTGTCTACCAATCTTCACGCCATGGTTTCAGTGTTCGAAGAGATTCGGTGCCAAATAATCCGGGAACCCATGGTAAAATATGCATTGACTACTTCTTTTTGAACTGGGATTTAAAAAAAAGTAATTTTTTTGACTGTTGGAATACTAGGCGTTCCCAGCCTTGGATTACTGGTGTGAAACACAAACATTTTCAAACCAGCTTGTTACTGTGACATAGCCACTCGGCTTGTCTCTTCCTACAATTCATTCTTCTATCATATGTAGCGCACACACTGTTGCTTCAGGTTGTAGAAGACTGCAAAACACATAATCCACATCAAAGATGCATCCCCACAGGGCATCCAAAGAGTTGGTTTTCTGTAAAGAAAATAAAATATATATATGTATATATAGAACAGAATCCATGGTACAGAATCCACCATCACGACTACAACAACAAGAATTTTTTTTTAATGTAAGAAGAAAGAACACAAAACAACAAAAGTTAATTACCCTGAGACCTAAAGAATTCCGAAATACACATTTAAATCCGTTTTTAAAGTCTCACTTCACATTTTGGGGAAATCATAGTCATGAAACAGAAGAATTTTTATGACTCATAGCCAGGATAAGTTAAAACATTTTGAAGAACAAAATAATTAAACCTACACTGTCTTTTAAAACTAATTATTTTCCTGTTCAGAACTGAACTCTATCACAACTACAATTGTTTTGGTGTTACGAGGGTTTTGTTTTCATTAAACTTTATGTTGTTACCATGCAAGCATGAAGAAAACACAATATTTTTGCCAGAAGTTTATGACTGAAAAAGCGTGAAGGCAGAGTAGGGTAAAAGACTGAAATATTATCAATAGTTTTTTAATGCCTTTACTTACACACCTTAAGCTAAAAAGTTAAGGTGCCCTTCAACCTTGCCATTAATTCTCAGTTTCTTTCCTGCAAATAGCAGGGTGGAAGTAAATCTTGGAATCAGAAAATAAGAGGTTACAGATAGTTCAATAAAGGAAACAGAAGAATAAGAGACAGACCCAGATAAATCCTGGTGAATTAAACAAATACACATTTATATTTCAATTTATCATATTTAACATTTTAAAACATTAAGTGTCTTATTAAAAAAGTGGAAAATGCAGAAAGTCTAAACTCAATAGCAACAAGCAAAAAAAAAATGCAACTTTGAAACTTCAGTGGCAAAACATACCACAAAACCAAGGCAAATCCCTGGCTAGGTACAACAACTAGAGATTACTGAACCGGTCAATGAAATGTTGGCGCGGGCACTGTCTACATAAGCAGAAGGGACTCCCTTCTTCAATTCATGCAGTTCAGCTAAGCAAAATAATTAAATCATCTGTAGTTGATAAAACAACTAGGAAGGATGGGGGGGATAAAATCAGGAAAGCTTAATAAAAAAACTAAGTGCAAATTCTATTTCAATTCTCAAGTAACGATGGCTAACAATTTTATTTTAAATCATTTTAGAGTGTTGGTTTTCATTTTTATTCATTACTAATCTTTGTCCAAAAGCAGTTTGGCACAAATCAAAAGGTAAAAAACACACTCTTTAGTTAATAGGATATGAGATATGCTATTTTCTCACACAGTGAAATGCAAAAGTGTAACTAAATGTATCACTTTTCCCGCTGGCTCATCAAAAAGGAAAACAAATTTAAGAGAAGTTACATTTCACTACCGACCCATGGCTTAAAAGTTTGCTAGCCAGTGAGCGGCATTCTTTCTTCAGACAGTAACTACAGCAAATACATGAAAAACAAAATTGCCATTTAGTATTTCAATCAAGATTTCAATTTTATTGGTTTAACAACAGAAGGGAGATCAGGGAGGGTCGCAAAGGAAAATGACAGAGACAGAACAAAGAGCTGCAAGTTTTACATTCTCTATGCATTACAAAATGCATGTGCATGCCAGAGCAGCCCGAGGAGAGTGAAGATGGGAAACTCGGATCCTGTACAAGAGAGAGATTTAGCTCCAGAAAGGAAAATAAAAGCTACAGCTCATAGAAAAGTTGTGTAGACAGCAGTAGCTGGATAGAGTCCCTGGGACAGGACTTAAACTGGGGTCTTGTTACCAACACAGTTCACAGAGCACCCTATAAAATACTGCAACAGCACAGCTGTAGAGGAGATACAATGAGAAACCAACTCCCAAACAATTCAAGTCTAGATTCCCTGATAGTCCCTGATATTCATTTCAATTCACTTTCTTCAATCTTAACTATTCCCCTTCAAAAAAAAAAAAAAACCCAAAATGAAACACAGAACACACTTAAGCACACACACACTTGAGGAAAGCACCTCAGCAATTATCTTATTCTACCATTTCTTACCCCTCTTCCCTGTCCTCCTTCCTCTTCAAATCCCCAGATAACAGCTCAGCTAACTTTTTGCCACTACACACTTGAAGAAAACTACAAGCAATCCATCTAGAAATGTTCACATCTTATTTCTTCTGGCAACCACTCTGTGTCTTTGAGTCCAAATCTACATATGATGATGCTGCTCAAAACAGAAAGATCTATGAGGAGCTAGAAGGAGAAGCAGCTGGTTTTTTCTTGTTCTCTTAAGTTTCTTTGTTGCTGTATCAACCTTGTAAAAGGTATAAAAAACATACACGTATTAGTAATAGTCTTCAATACTGATTTTTGAAGGATTTCTCTCATCATTCAAAACATCTCAGTCTACTGATTCATCCTTCCTGTTTGCATCAGAAAAATTCCAGGCAATCCAATGAAAATACAAGCCACTAAAACATATTCATAAATATACTCCCTGTAATATTGCTAAACCAGGAATAAAAATTAATGGATGGATTGTCACTGCAAAGAACATACTACTTACTACACTTGTCACCAACTTGAATTCTTACAAAACAACATCACTCCACAAGGCAAAAGACATTATTATGCAACTTTAACATCACACAATGAATTTGAGATCACAAAACTGACCATGCATATTAACTTGAATTTTTTATGATTTTATTTATTGAGTATATTTAAAAAAAAAATAAAATAAAAATCGTATTTGCTTCTGTAAACAGAAAGCCGTTAAAATCTGAGGTCCATTTATATCTGAGACTGTCCACAAAGCTCATTCCAAGGCCAGGACTGCTCTTCCACAGTCCTCCTTCCTTCAACATCCTTCTCCCACCTCTCTCTCATGCCAAAGTGTCTCCACATGTGTATGCCCTTCCCAAACTGCTTCTCTCAGATCTTCTCTAGAAATTTTATCTCAAACCTTCCCCAACAGTGCTTTTGTTGGTCTCCTCAACTTCAGAGGCTACATGCCTGCCCATTTCTCACTACCAGCATCAGTCTTCTCTATCTATTTGTGCCTGTGTTTGAAATCCATCTCATCAAGAATAGTCTGCTTAAGAAGCTCCCTGTCTACGTCCAGCTGTTCCCACCCTCTCATGACCACTGCAACATGATAGGGAACTGATCCATCTCAAGAATTTTTTGCTCAAGTTACTTCACAGCTAGATCATTTTCCCAATCCAGAACATATACGGTTGTACTAACATGTGTGCTACAATGGCACAAGGGAGAAAATGAGCAACATGGGGAAGTGAGGAAAACGCTGCTTAAGTCAGTTTATACATTTCTGCAATCTGCACATGTAATTTGATGTTTCAGCCATGTCAATCTAGCAGGTAGCTGCCACCAAAGCTGGCAGACTCACTCCCCTCCTCGCTCTTGATCTTTGGTCCCCATTTCCCCATCTCATGCATCTAGAGATGATGAGTCCACAGAGTTAAGTTAATTCAGCTGGCTGATATTTCAGGAAACTATTCTTTTCATCTAAATGAATTAACTCACCTTGTGGCCGCATGAACACTACATTCCACAAAAAGGAAGTATTAGGAATGCCTGGTAGGGACCACAGGTCTCAGTAGTAGCTTCAGTTTAGATCATGTTTGCTATTATGTCCAAATGCACCCTAAACATAACGGTTTAAGAGAAAAGTTACCTACTGTACAAGTATGCTAAAATCTCATGAAATTGCCAGTAAAAACCATGACGGTATAGCCTCTGATCTATGGACAACTGCAAAAATATCTGAAGCTGCGGCTCTGCTGAACAGATGATAAGGTTTCATGTGTCCCCCGTTACACTCTTCCCAGTCTCTGTTTTCCACTGTAATCAACAGATTTGAATTCACTGTGCCCAGCAAATTCCTTAAACTGTTGGAATTCATTAGACATGTTATGAAGTGCGTTAACACAGTGTCATAAATGCGATCAAGTGTAAAACTCACAAGCTAAACTAATAAAACAGTATTTTGTAACTTACTGTAAAACTGCAGATTTATCACTCCCTGTGGCTTCCCTTACTTGCCTGTCTGCATATGGGTGGCCAAACCCTAGATCCTCATATAAAATCCCCATACAAACATATACATGCATTTGCATATAACAACAATGCTGAAATTATTCAAAACCATATTCTTCCTGTTGTACACTCAACTCAGAACACACTGATTCACAGTTAAATCTGAACATAAAAGCACGTGAAGAAGACAGCTAAGCCTGCACTGTATTCAACACATGCTGACATTTTCTAAAGCCACTAGATTAGCTGACGAAATCCATTAATAACTACACTGGTTCATTTTACAAGGCTAAGTTATGTCAGAAATGTAACGCGCTCCTTCTATCAGTAAAGGAAAAGTAAAAATATAAGAAACTAGATCCAGCGTTAGTGAATCATCCTGGATGCAGAGGTCAGCCAACAATGACAAATGAATAATGAAAATAAACAACCTGGCAGCCTTTCAGCACACACATTCACAAAATGTATTAAGTCTGAAAACATGTGACGCAAAACTAGTTTTTCTACCTACACTGCTGCATACACTTTAAGACTTAAAAGTGCAAGCTGGTTCTAGCTAATATTAATAATAATTACCAATAATGTTTAATAATTCCTTATTCCCCAGCCATCTGGGATTAAAGTCTGCAA